ATAGATTGACTAGGTCAACCCACTTTATTCCGGTAAGAATATATTATAATGTTGAACAATTGGATAAGGTTAATGTGAAAGAGATAGTGAGGTTGCATGGGGTGCCCCAATCATGTTAGACTGTGGTACCCAATTCACCTCCAAGTTTTGGAGAAAATTGCATGATAAATTGGGCACACAACTCACTTTTAGTACAGTCTTTCATCCACAGACGGATGGACAATCAGAGAAGACTATTCAAGTGTTGGAAGACATGTTAAGGGCATGTGTGATTGATTTTGGAGGGCATTGGGATAAGTTCTTACCTTTGTATGAATTCTCTTATAACAATAGTTAACACTCTACCATTGATATGGCACCATTCGAGGCATTATATATGAGGGGATGTAGATCATCCATAGAATGGTTTGAGGCTAGTGATGTGAAACCTTTGGGGGTTGATTTAGTGAAGGATGCTCAAGATAAGGTAAGGAGTAAGCAAACTAAGCTTCTAGCAGCCCAGAGTAGACAAAGAAGTATGCAGATCATAAAGTGAGAGACATGACAATTCAATCCGGTGAAAATGTTCTTCGTAAGGTATCACTCATGAAAGGGGTGATGAGATTTGGTAAGAAGGGTAAGTTAAGTCATAGATACATTGTTCCATTTAAGATTCTTGAATGTGTAGGACGGGTGGCGTATATATTGGCTTTAACTCCTAAACTTTTGAGTGCTCATCCGGTATTTCATGTATCCGTGTTGAAGAGGTATCACGGTGACGGAGACTATATCATTAAGTGAGACTCAATCGTGTTAGACAATGACCTCCAATATGAGGAGGAACCAATTGCAATTCTTGATCGTGATGTGCGTAAGTTGAGGACCAAAGAAATTAAGTCTGTGAAGGTTCAATGGAAGCATCGTCCAGTTGAAGAAGCTACTTGGGAAACCGAGAGAGTCATGCGAGACAAGTATCCCCAATTGTTTGTCGAATCATGTACTACTTCATTCTTTCCTTAGCCTACTTTTCCTAAGTTTGTCACTCAGCAACGAGTGATGGGTAAATTGGTATCTATTGTAACGACATGTTCTAGTCGTTATAGAAAAGCCAACAGGGGGATTGGGGGGATTGGGTCCGTAAAACTTTTTCGTAGTATTTGAATTTTCCCAACCTAGTATAAATTGGACGAATTCAGAGTCTTTAAGGTTTAGGTAAATCTGGTAACAATCGGGTGATTTAATTATGATTTTGATTACATGAGTAGTTAGATAACTCGTTAAGGAATCCGTACGACTTTACGAAATTAAATTCGGGTGAGTAGAACTCCCGAAATTGATCTTAGCGTGAAGAAGATTCTATGATCATTGTGGGCTAGAAGTGTGTTGTGAAATGGGAATTATTGGAATAGCTCTATGTTTCGTTTCAACCGCTTTGGTGCTGGTTCGTGCCACTCTGGCAGAGCCCCTACAGCGGGGTAAGGGTCGTTAGAGCGGGCTCGACGCAAATTAAAATTGTTAATAAACCCCTAAACGACCTTATTTGGCACTTTCTATTTTTAGAGCTAAGAAACGAACCCCAGGCGACTCCTACTCGTTTTTCACCATTATTGAGGTTAAATGTAGTCTTTTCACTCCCTAAATCCATTTTTCGATCAGTAGAACGTAATAAAATGAGTGAGTATTGATGGGGAGGGTTATGATATAGATTCTATGGTGGAAACAACCCTAATTTGGATGATTAAAATCATGGGTTTGATCTAGGGTTCATAGAATTGTTAGTAATACGTGTAATTCATGATTGTTTATTAATTCCCGTATTGTATTGATTGTTTGTAGACCAAGAACAAGCGGAACGAATTCAGAAAGGGAAGGATCAAGTTTCTTAGGGTTTCAAGCTTATTTTGAGGTAAGTGATAGTTGTGATTCTATGATTGTGTGATGTATGTTTGTTCTTGCTTCATTATGATACTTGTATATTTATGAATGTTGCAATGTTGATCACACTTTTTGTAAATGAGTTAGATGAATTATTATTGCCATGAAATCATGACTTGAATGTATGATCTTAAGGATGTACTTGTTTTTGTAATTGTGATGTGTGAATATGATCGGTTTTGCATTCCGGCATAACTAACTCGAATCGGTTACCACGTTTCGGCATAAATATGGGATCAGTTGTTACGTTGCGACATAAATATGGGATCGGTTGCCACATTCCAGCATGCTAGCTGTTTGGGTTTGGGTTCCATGAGAGGACCAATGATTTGATATAAAATGTGAAGTTACTTGTAGTTCGCAAATGTTGTTTGGCTTGCTTATATTGCACTGGTGGGATAGCCGCGTGATCCTACCAGTATACTGTGTTTGTGTATTGATTCTGCACTTGCTCTTATTTTTGTTGAGTACAGGGCATCTTCAAGCGGCTACTGACAGACCTCGCTTAAGAGATCAGTGATCGTTGCTTCGAATTCAAGGGTCAGTCAATTCTTTCGGGCTACCATGAGATTCTCTTTCGTCTATGTCCACCATTTTTGGACTTAGAAAATTGTTTTAGTTAGTTGAGTACTTCATTAGTATAGGGTTGTATCCCTTTTTGTTTAGACTTGGTTCATGTTAGATGTTTTGTTACATTGACTTTCAGGTTCTAGGTTATTCTTCCGCATTGTTAGATTTTTGTTGGAGTTTATGGAAACTCTACTTTTCATGCCTTAGTTATTGCTTTAGTTGCTTGGTTTGGGCTGTAGTAGTGGTTCTCCCACTGGAGTGTTAGTGTGGGTGTCAATCACGATGGTCTGAATCGTGACACATAGATGAACCAAACTTTTAACGGATAATATAAATGAGTTTTTTTCCAAGTTCGATGACATATTTGAGCCTTTTTCCTTATTTTATTAGTATGTGTTATTTTCTTTAATAATCATTTTTACTCTCTTGGTGACTTGAACTCATAATCTTTAATGAGCATTGATTATACTTCACTGTGAAATTTTAAAAAGCATTTTTTTGTTCTCAAAATAAAAAAAAATGAAATTTGAAAATAAGGTTTGGCCATGAATGCAAATACAAGTTATTTTTTACTTTTCTGAGTAATTGATGCTAAAAAAAGTAAAGACACATTTTGTTGTTTTCCAAATTCTTTCAGAATTTTGAAATTCAAGAGACTTTTATAATCAGACATATTTTCCAGAGTTCAACTCCAGAAAAAGGTAAAAAAATATATCATGACCAAACATGTTCTCGAAGTTCAACTGCGAAAAAAGTGAAAATATTTCATGTATTTAATGCTTCCTTAGTGTTGGAGTAGATGATGTTCACCATTCGAGCAAGTCGATCTTACTCTATCATCTATAGTTTTATATACTTATCTTTTCTAAACTATTCTACGTACATTCTACTTTCACCAGATCTCACGAATTGTTAAATCTATTAACATTTAAAAATTGTTATTTTTTTTATATTTTTTGCACAACAGATTTAAAAGATCACAAAATTTAAAAATATTTTAAAATATTTTACACATTTTAAATTTAATATCATTAAATTAAATTTTACGTCAAGTTAACACAACACAAATAAATTACCCTCGAAGAACAATCATTAAGCTATTAAGTATCATCAATTAGAATATATATTTTACTAATCTAATGCCAACTTGTAGCATTAATAAATTAAGGGCATGTGGACAAGACTTTTAACAACTCGTATATAATTTATCTCTTTTTCAAAATCACATAACGTTATAACTAACAAATAAAGAATTAGAATAACATAATTATTGTTATATTATATTAAGCGGTAATAATATAATATAAATATTTATAATTAATATACTTTGCATAGCTAACAGCTAAATGTTTTAGTAACTTTAGATACTATTAGAATATATATTTTACTAATCTAATGCCAACTTGTAGCATTTATAAATTAAGGGCATGCATGTGGACAAGACTTTTAACAACTCATATATAATATATATCTTTTTCAAAATCACATAACGTTATAACTAACAAATAAAGAATTAGGATAACATAATTATTGTTATATTATATTTAGCGGTAATAATATAATATGAAAATTTATAATTAATATACTTTGGATAGCTAACAGCTAAATGTTTTAGTAATTTTTAGATACAATGGCTTTAACTTAATTGATGCTAAATATTTTTGCGGTAAATAGAAAAAAAAATCTAGTATCATTAAATATATTTTTTTATCGTAATGCCACGATTTATCTATATTATGTTATTTACAAAAAAGACACTTATTGAGTCTTGCTATTAACATACTTCTAAAAATAGTATAAGTACCGCATCCCCCCTAAAATGCGAATACAAATAAACAATATACAAAAAAAAAACTATTTCTTCTCAAAATTACTCATAACAAAATACAATTTTATTCTTGTTAACAAATTCAAGTTAATTATTGAAACTTAAATTTCACAGACTTTGTAAAATTTTATTATATTATCTTAATTACGATATAACTTAAAATTCAAATATACTATGATAAATATAAATAATCTGATAATATAAAATTTACTCGATATAACTTGAATTCAAGTTGTTATTTTTTCTATTATACAAAAAATTATTATAATTGTTTTATTACTATATGTTATTTGCTATAAAATAAAAATTATTTTTACTTTTAGAACTCATAATCTTTATCGAGTTTTTGATCATATTTCATTGTGAAATTTTTTTGAATGCAAATTTATCAAGTTATTTTTGGCTTTTCTGAGTAATTTGATGTGAAAATTCATTTTTATTATTCTTCAAATTCTTAAAACTTTTGAAATTTAACTCAGTTTTATAGGGAGATGTTGATTTTTCAGATTTCAAACTTGAGAAAAAGGTAATCAAACATGTTTCGGAAGTTTAACTCGAGAAAAATGAAAAAACTTCATGTGTTTTATGCTTCGTTTAGTGTTGAAGTAGATGATGTTCACCATTCGAGCAATTCGATCTCACACTATCATCTGTTGAATCGTTAGATCTGTAACATCTTTGTTCACAGATGGAGGCTATAATCGTTGCAGCGGTGAGTCCGGCGGCGACAAAAGCGGTAAGCTTTCTGGTGGATAGTCTATCGCAGCTACTATCGGAAAATGTCGATCTGATAAGAGGTGCAGATGGAGAATTCCAGCGATTACTGGATGAAATTAAACCCATAAATGAGTTACTAGCTGGAGATTATGCACAATTGAAAAGCAACAACAAAGACAACATCGATTTGGATGAATTGTTCCTGAAAATTCAACGAATAGTATATAAAGCTGAAGATGCGATCGATAAATTCCTAATTCAGGCGAAGATTGACCAAGATAACGTGTTCAGTAAATTCCTTCCAATTCCCAAATGGATCAACCATTGGAAAAGCGCAACGGAATTCAATCAAATTCTCAAACAAATGACCGAAATTCGCCAAGAGAGTCAACAGGTTCTCCAGAAAAGTCATATACAGAGTACTGCTTTACCGCCTGGAAAAAGTACGGGGACACAGGTATCTTCTTCCTCCGTCCCAATATATATATATATATAATTAAAATTATGCAAGAGTTGGGTGGTTGGGATTGCTCCATTATTTTGCTCATTTTAACTTAACTAACCTTTGCGAGGGTCAACATAACTCTGCCATTTGTTGTCCCTGTTAATTATTGAAATAAAAAATTTCAAAAGACCATAAGCAGATCACCGGCTAAGACAACACAAAACTTTTTCTAATAAATTGTATTTGCTTATGAATTTTACATAACCTTTTGGGATCATTTAGAAGGGCAGTTCAGTGCACTAAATTCTCATTATGAGTAGGATTTGTGGAAGGGTTGGACCACAAGTTGTGGAAATAGCCTTTCACAAAGGTCTTGTACAAATAACTAATACATGTATAAATTATGAGAGAATCTATGTATTATTTTATGAATGACATAACGAGAATAACTAATATATGAATAAATATATCCTGCATAACTAATACCATAAATAGTACATAGATTCTCTCATAAGTAATAAATTCATACATTACTAATACTTGAATAACTTTAACTAGCTGCCAAACGACCCCCAAATGTATTAATTCATTTTATAGACCCGATCCTTTGACAAAAAAGGGGATAGTTTTAGGAACCTCCCTCTGAGTTTTAAGTTTGTGCATGGATTGCCCCTATCTTTGGATGGTCTTCAATTTTTGCACAGAGGCGGAGACAAGATTTGATGTTTGTGGGTTCTAAATTTTAAAACAAAACAACATATTAATCTAATATAACAATCGTTAAATTACACACACACACATATATATATATATACAAACATATAAGCATATCATTAAAATTGCACTCAACATGTTGTTATGTTTTGAAAAAAGAAATGATCCATCATTTGTTACACTTTCAAATACTTCATTTATTAATATGAAGATTTGAGTTATTTATTTCAAAGTTCTAAAATATTATTTAGTAAAAGGTAGATAAGTATTATATTTTAGTATAAATTTTGAATATTATTTCTATAATCTCAATATTATTGTAAGTAAAATTAAAATTATTAAATTCACCATTAATAATTTTGGGACCTAAAAGAAAGGTTTACTTGCTTCACCCTTGAGCCGCTCTTGCCTTGAAAGTTGAAGTTCCGAGAAGCAAACAATAACTTAATTAATATAATCAATTATTGATACGTGGAACAGTCTTAAAATCAAATATTAAAAATAAGATTTTTGAATAAATTGTTATACAATGTAAAGACAAATTAAAAAAAAAGAGAGAAAAGGGAGAGCCGAGGAGGAACTGAGAAGAGTAAATAGTACTTATCAGGGCAGAGGTCTGCACTTTGACAACAAGCAGTAGCAATGAAGTAGGTAGTAAAAATTAGAACCCTAACTTTTAAAAAAAATTAAATTTTGGGTTTAATGTTTTATTGAATACTTCAAAGAAATCAATAGTGAGATGTTGTTTTAGAGTATGACACTATTTTTGTTACTTACAAGTTTCAATTATCTATTTTGAAATTAATAGTCAGATGTTTGTCTTGGAGTATGACACTACTTTTTTATTATTCTCAATTATCAATTTTTTTGTTTTATTGTTTGAAAAAAGAATTTAGAAAATCTACATAGGAAAAATTGAATTAAAGGAGGGTAAAAGATAGGCACAAAACACATTTTGAATCCAAATAAAAGAATTCGGAAAAATTGAATTAAATAAAAAGTTGAATTGTTGCCAGTGGGGCTCGAACACCCAACCTAAGAATCAGAACTTACCACTGCGCCACACGCCTTTGTTTGATGTGGGTTCGCACATAATATTAAGATATATTTATACATGATTTTTTAGTACGTATATAGGATATAAGTTAAGATGACGCAAAGCATAAGTTTGGAGAACTTTTTCCTTGTCTGATAAAAGTTATGTAGGAATAAGTTATGCCTCTTAAGGCATAAGTTTTATAGGAACTACATTATGCCTTAGTATGGTACGAAAGTAAAAAATCTCGCGTTGCAATTTTATATTTATTTCAGCTGCCTTTTTTGTTACTTGAACTAGTTTGATCTCCCAAATTTATAACAATTTGATAATTTCAAAAGGGTTCTGCTGAGGAGGATATCGAAGTGGTTGGTTTTGATAAGCCTGCAGGAGATGTTATAAAGCGACTCGGTGAAGGATCAAAGGATCTTGATGTTATACCTATTGTGGGAATGCCAGGACTTGGAAAGACCACACTGTCAAGAAAAGTTTACAATGATTCTTCCCTTGATTTTCATTTTTACAAGAGAATGTGGATTTATGTTGGGACATCAAAGAAACCAAAGGATATTCTTGTTGAGATTGTGAATGAAGTCGCGCCAAGCAATAGTAAAGAACTAATTAAAGACAAGGATGAGGACCAATTAGCTCATATCATACGTGATTTTCTTGTTGAAAGAGGTAAATATCTCATTGTCTTGGATGATGTGTGGGACACACAAGTTGTAGATTTTGTCAAGAAAGCTTTCCCAAACAACAAATCCCAGCCCCGAGGGGACAGAATCATGTTGACAACTCGCCAACAACGTGTGGCTGAAGCTGTCAGCGCTCGTCCTCACAATCTGGAAAATTTGTCAAAAGGGGATAGTTTCAAGTTGTTGGAACAGAGAGTTTTTGGCAAAACAAGGGAGTGTCCTATTAATTTAAGAGGATATGGAGAAGAGATTGTAGATAAGTGTTGTGGCGTACCACTAGCCATAGTGGTGATTTCAGGAGCTTTGAAAGGTTGTATGGACGAAAGTGAATGGATAGTAGTCAAAGAAAATGTGGGGAAGATCTGTACAAACAAGGACGACGATAAAAGCTGCTTGAAATATGTTGAAACGAGTTACAATCATTTGCCACAACAGAAAAAGGCAGCCTTCTTGTATTTTGGAGTATTTCCTCAAGGCTTTGATATTCCTGCTTGGAAACTTATTCGCTTATGGGTTGCTGAGGGGCTAATAAAGTCCGATCTTCAAGGCAGTGAAATCGAGAAGGTTGCAGAGACTTACTTGAGTGACTTTGCCGGTAGGAATTTAGTGATGGTGATGCAAAAGAGATCTAACGGTCAAATCAAAACATGTCGTCTCCATGACATGTTGCATGAGTTCTGCATTATTGAGGCTAAAAGGATAAGTCTCTTTCAACAAGTATATCTCCAACCTGGTGTTCAAGTTTTTCCTTCTATAGAAGATCCAAATACTTCTCGTCGACTATGTATTCAATCCTCTATTCCGTATAATTTTATCCCTAAAGATAGAATTGTACAGCATGTTAGGTCTCTCTTATGTTTTTCCTCAATCCAAAAGAAAATTGACTTGTCTAATCTAGAGAACCCAATTAAGGTCAGTCGAATACAATCATTTTGTCTTTGAAAAATGATTCTTTACATTTGTGTTTGTTCATAAGTTACTTTCTAGTCGTCGTACAATTTCTGCAATCCATGAATCTCTTAACATTGCTTAGCATAGAAAGACTTCATCTATCATATTTTCCTTGTAGGATAGAATTAAGGCATGAAGTTCACTGGGAATTAACCTGGGATCAATGATGGCAAATAGAATACTCGTGCATCACTCAGTGTTTCATCTTTCTGAGAAACTTGTTCCAATGAAACAAACTTGTTGTCTTTTTATCTATTCAAGCATTGTGATTCTTGAAAATAAGTTTCTGTGTGGTTTAATTAAGAGATGTCGAATAAATACACTCCCTTATGCGCGCGTTTCTAATTTCTTGTAAAACTTTTCCAGCTTTCAGGTTTTGTTGCTAATAGATTATTTGTGCCATCAAAAGCATTTCTTGTTATTCCTGCAATTATTTCTTGTAAAACTTTTCCAGCTTTCAAGTTTTGTTGCTTTTGCGCCACCGATGCTATTTTAATCTAAATTCACTTGGACTCTTCACTTCACTTTCAGTGCTGCAGTACCCCCCCTGTCAACATGACCTGATTTCTGTAATCAAAACAAAAGCTTTGGTGAAGTTGAAGAAAATGGATTAACTTTATATAATCATAATTTTCTTTGGGGAATACTTTTACACAAAATGTCTCATAATCTAGAGATACTTGAATTATTTTAAGCGGAATTCCTGTACCTGAATTCACTCCTATCTCTCATTCAATAAAATGGAAGGTTCACTCTTCTAATATTTTCTTATTAAAATATATAATCTGTAAGGAGCTAAACATCAAGAATCAGGCTAGTAAAATATGATGAAGTAATATACTTACCAAAAATATAGACAAAATTCAACTAATTAGAGAACACTGATCAACTATAAGGAAAATTAATCTGAGGACTAGTTACAGTATTAGGGCCAACAGAAGAGAAATCTGCCATAAATGGAGCCGGCTTTCTTCGGAACTTTGTCTCTGGACCAGTGATATATGCATGTGGATCTCTGTAACAATAACGTCGCAAGTAGAACTACAAGTATCAACACTGGAAATAAGGAAAAGAAAGAGATATATATATAGACAGACTTAGAAGAAGCAATGTAGTCAAAGACTCGAACACCATCTGTATAATTGATATGTATCGCTGGAAGGACATGAGGGACGCTGTAAATTTAGTTGCCAGTAGGTTTATTGTTACAAAGGATCATTCCGATAGCACTAGCTAGAGCTGCATGATGATCTTTACTCCAGTCAGTATACTCCTATTGAAATCGGAAGAGGCAGCTATCAATAAGCATTTCGACAATAAGAAAGTTATTTATGAATGTCTCGTTCAACTGTTCAAGAGGCAGCTATTCTAAAAACAAAAAGTTTTCCAAGTGGTTTTTGCTCTTTTTATATGTGCCGAACAAAATTGTAAATTGTATAATTAAGTTGACTGCTAAATTCTTAGCTAGGAAGTATCCAATCCTGTCTCTTGTTTTTTTCCTAGCAATCTTGCTTGATTTGACACAACGACTGACTGACGGAATGAATGAGAATTTTTCATTGAAGTTGATCCATTCTTGAACTATGAAAAATTCTCATTCATTCTTTTGAACTATGAAAAATTCTCAATTAAATGTAAGTTGATCATCTATTCTGGTCACTTAATTTTTTTCTCATGCATGCACTATGATCCGTCCATCTATCTTCCTTTTCTGATCTCTAAATAACTAACTGCAAAGAACAAATAACTCAAGTACTGATCATACACATTTAACCCATGAGAAGAAAAGACATAAATAAATAAAAGAATTAATAACATCATCTTATATCTTATATTCACCAAATCAAAAAATTATTCACTAATTCCATAATTAATTGTTCGCAATCCTCTTTGAAAACAATATCTTAATCAAAAAGTGAAGGTGAACGACATGATGCTCAGTGTGATACACAAAATTGAATTTCAATTTTATTGTGCTTTTGATTAAGGGGAAACATGAAGAAAATAACTTTGGCCCTTATTCTTCAGCCACGTGTTTATTCTACAGCTACATGTGACACGTATATTCTAGCTCAGCTTACCAGAGAAAAATGACCAAAATACCCTTACCTTTCAATTTAAAGACAAATAACAGTCATGTTGAAACTAGCTCTTTTATGTATACTAGATAAAGGATGCCCGTGCCTTGCACGGGATTTAAGTATTGAAACGTAAATAAAGAAGAGATGATTAAAGTTAATAATATCAACAGAGTTTTGAGACATGAACAAATATAGTTTGCGGAACATTATACTGGGAGCTTGCTAAAAAGACTAAATAATTTGTTTTCTTTGAACATACTACTAAAACATATCACAATCTCTTTTGGTCTTTCAGCTAAGCTCAAGTCTGTGGAAGCAATACCACAACCTTCTTGTTTGAAGGTCCATCCGTAGTTCGACTGTCTGAGAAGTGGAAGGAGTTTATTATGTGATAGAACAACAATGTGATTGTTACAAAAGTGTTGCTAAATGATACAAAAAGAAACAAATAATTTTACAACATAGCTGATGAAAGTAAAATTCCAAAATGATGGATGTGTTTGGTTGTGTGTTTCACCATTGGCAATGCTGACCTGTACATCCTTCCGTTGAATTACTATGAGATATAATCCTCATTCTGTACCATATTCTCCTTTCCCTTCTTATATTTTTCTTAGAAACTCTTTTACTTCCTCTTAGTTAAATTGATCGAGCTTAACACTATGCAAGAACTTAAAAATGAATCATTCAATGATGAATAGTATAGAAAATAAAATAGAAGAAGTGACTGACCATTCCACTGCTAATAACATTTAGGCACAATCTTTAATTCTTTTGGAACTATCATCGACAGATTTCAGTGTCCTAAATGACATTGTATACCTTTATGTCTTTATGATCAACAACTCATCTTGGATTCATAGTTCTCTAAGAGGAGTATAATAGCAGAACTGATAACCCCATAGTATATAGGAGGCTAACTCATCTTATACGAAATTTCGAGCGAAGGTTACAAACAGGAACAAAGAAGATATATTTGCCTGCTACATTGTAGTACACAAGAAAATCACCTATGAATAACTTACGAAAGATGAAAAAAATGAGAAAAAGAACCTTTGAGTAACAATAGTAAAATCTGATGAGCAACTTTGTAGTCCAATACAAAGAAACTTATGTAAACATTCCTTTTTTCCTATTCCAGATTGGGTTCCCGAAGTTGAGGTTCTTGCTCCTTGATATTCTCTTCCTTGAAAAATGGGAAACCACCACAGGCTCTCATGATCATTTCCCCAGCCTTGAGCGCGTAAATATCACAAATTGCATATTCTTAAAAGAGATTCCTCAAGGATTTGCTGATAGCAAGAAACTGGAGCTGATTGAGTTACACAAATGTGAACCTTCCTTGGTGGCTTTTGCTGAGAAGATCCAGGAAAAACACGAGGATTTGGGGAGGAACAAACTTAAAGTTACTGCCTTCGATTCAGGTAAATATATCTATCTGTCAACATACAATAGTTAGTGTTGCAAACAGGAAAAAAAACTAACTATGCTTGTTGTCATTTTTTCCTTTTCATTACTATGATTTGCTACGCTTGATGAGCTGAGGTTTGTTCAGAAACAACCTCTCTACTTCCACAAGGTAGTGGAAGGTCTGCATATACTCTCTACTGAGTTTTGTCATTTCATTTTTTCAAGAAGAAACAGGGGATTTCCAGCTAGTACCAAACTGCAGCTGATCCATCACGTAAGGAGTTGTCTTCCCTCCTTGTATCGTATTGTGATGTTTGTTTAAATATAATATTTGTTTTGTTTTTTAATTAAACAACTTGTTGTTTGGATATGGTTGCTACCTATTGTATCTTATTATGGTGTTAATCAAAATATAATTTTCATTTTTACTTGTACAACTTGTTGTTTGGATATGATTGTTACATCTTGTATCTTATTGTGGTATTAATTTAGCTCAAGATTTATCTAAGGAGCCCAAATTTCACTTATTCACCGATATGGGATATTCTATTCATCACGAACCCGTAAAATTAAAAAATATATAAATAAAGAAGGACAAAGAGGAAGAAGAAGAGAATCCAAACAAACTTTCAAATAAAAAACAGAAAAAAAATTGCATGCATTTTTGGCCTTTGCAAATGTGGCATAAATTACGGTTTCAAATTTCAACTGTTTTTAACTTTCTGTTTCTCTTTTTTTATATAAAAAATAATAAATTAAATTAAATTCTCTCAAAATATGTATGGACCTGCTAATAGAGCAATTTATTAAGGAAAGAAGTTTTTTTAAAAAAATTATTAGTCACGAGAAAATGTCAGATAACAAATTTAAACTTTTTTTCTTGCGTATTTTATGGAGTTTTGGATCCAAATTTTCTTTATTAAAAAGCGTTTGTATGTGACTTCTTCATCATCATAACTTACTATTAAAAAAAAACTTTTTTCTCGGTTTCCATTTTTACGTATAAAATCTTCAAAATTTTATTTGAGTATTTGGATTTGCATTTTGGTAGAAAAAAATGGAGAATAATAGAAAGAGAGGGAGAGAAACGTTGAATACGATTTACAACAGGAAGAAACACCAGGTGATGATGATGATGAATGTGGATGATGATTTTGATCAAAATAGGTACAAATGGGATAATGCGAAGGATTTTATGCGAACAGAGAAATGTCATGAAGACGATGAGTCAGGTACAAGTACAGGTCCAGGTGTAGAAACAACAGGAGTTTTTGGCTTTCCATGGATTAAAGGAAACAAAGACGTAAACTTCAAAGAAGAAATTGAGGAATGTTTGGATGGTACATTTGCCGTCCCTACAACCACCACCTCCTACAATTGTTATGACGATGAAATTCACATCGACACAACTACTATTACTACTACTACTACATCAATTTTCTGTGATAATCAGAAGAAGTTGCTATTAGGATTGGACATTGATCACGATTTCAACCTCGATCCCGATCTAATTGATCAATTTTTCACTGATACTGCACAATCGTCCTGTGACAATGATCAGGTGGATGAAATTGAAGATCAACAATTGAAAATTGAAGTAAACGCCGATCAAAAACTTGTTGAACCCAAGGATGGGAGTTAATTAATTGGAGGTAGCAAAAGTTAGCGGCGAGTTTATGACCATTGAATAAATTTCTTCGACTTGAGTTGGATTAGAAGCATGAAATGCATATACATCATCTCCGATAGCTAGCAATCTAGCACCATGAAATGATGTACAACAAAACAAAAACCAACACACCGCAAGTTCTGGGATCTTGAATTTCAGTTATGAAACCTTTGATAAAAATGTAATATAATAGTTAGATCCTTGACCGAAGGTTTTCGTTACATAAAATTGTTTAAGAAGTGTACAAATTTGTGTTTTTTTGCGGCTATTAATATAATATTACTATAATAATATTCTTAATAATAAAAATTCATTCACTATTCTATGTGACTGTATTTATTTAGTGATGGAGTTTAAATGAGGTGTAAGTTAAATATATGTAAAACACTAAAACTATCCTTTTAAATAAGTAATAATAAAAAAGAATGGTATCGTATTTGTTCTTGTCATTAACGAAATTCCATTGCCAAACAAGCGACTCCATGATTCAAATTATCTATACAAATATTTTTTAATCTTGTGGTCTTAAACATATATGATATATGAAAGTTAAATTTAAAAATTGATCCAAAAAAGATATATGAGAAAACACATAAAAAATATTTCTAAACTTGGCAGCACAACTTAAACTACACCGACGTTAAATATCCATTTAACATCTTTCAAGTAATTTAAATACCCCGTAAGGGATGATGTGGCAGAGAGAGTGAGTGTACTCTCCTAAAAACGCGTGAAAAAAAAGATCACTTCAAAGATGTTAAGGGGGTATTTAAACGTCTGTATAGTTTAAGTACTAAAGTAAGTTCTAAAAAAGACAAACAAATTTAAAAATATAGTATATTTGTTTTGTTAACCAAGGCTTATAATAATTTTATTATTACTAAAAAAAATTAGGCCCTTCAAATTTGAGGGCCTAAGACGTATGCATCATTTTTAAAGGCATTGAGCCGCCCTTAATGGAGAGATAGTTGAGATTCATTCGCTATTAATTAAAGGTTTTAAATTTGAGTTCTAAAAATAAAATAAATGTTGGGAGCACAATCTTTATAATAAGCTTTCTTCAATATGAATACCAAATCACGAAATATTTTTTAGCTTAATTTCATATAGCAAAACAAGTAAATTTGATCTTTTTTTTTTCTTATTATATTGTGGATATCTCCTCTTGATGAAGCATTAGTGTACTTGTCGCTACTCTAAAAAATATAAGATATGAATTAATACTAATTAACATTACGTATAATTTTATAAAAAACATAATAATTATGATAAAACGTCTTTTCATGATTTTCAGATAATAGATAAATATTTTTTTATTAAATAAATATGTGTGAGACATTAAGGTTGTAGATGGAATTATTTATTTAAATTAATGTATAATATTAATTTAAATAAGGAATCGGGGAAAAAAATAAAGAAGAAGAGAAAAAAATATATTCAAATTTGATAATGCAAATCTAAGAAATAATCTGATTTCATTTAATATAAGCAATCTAATATAATTTTAAGATGTAAAGAAAGAAATTACAATATTGAAAATGTGAATCTATCCTAATTACCAGCTAACATGTGGACGGAAAAAGTAAGCATATTAATGAAATTATGAAATGGTCAATGAATTTAGATATTATTATTTTGGAAAAAGGGTCTGAAAAATACATTAATTTTAGTTGAAGTTAATGAATTTAGATATTATTATTTTGGAAAAAGGGTCTGAAAAATACATTAATTTTAGTTGAAGTTATTGTTACAATACCAAACCTTTTTACATCTGCACTATTTAATAGTGTATTTTAAAGGTATATATGTGCTCGCGTAGACATATTACTATTTAAAATGATGCAATATTTATGGTGTTCACGTGGGCACATATATACTTTTAAAATACACTATTAAATAGTGCAAGGAGTAAAAGATCATTTCCAAAGTTCGATATTGTTACAGCAATTTCGATCAAAGTTCGGATATATTTTAGACTTTTTTCCCTATTATTTTCTCTTATTTTATTGTGAATATCTCTTCTTTCATTAAGCAGTTTATTGTCCCCAAGTATTTTAGAATATGATTGCAGCATTTTATTGTTGAAACAAGTTATCCACAAACACGTATACTACACTCGTGATGGATTGAAGATTTTCATTCAGGGAGTTCGAAAAATAAAAATATAAACATGTAAATATGTAATGATAATAATTATAAAATAAACTAAGGTTTTTAAATAAACATTATAAAAAGAACACTTGGAAAAAATAGAAAATTGGATTTTCGGGTATCGGGTTTCAATTTCCTAGCTATAAATTAGTCGGCCTCACATTCATGAAAAAGATAAAAATGGAAAAGATATCCAATAGTCTTCTTTCTGAACATCAGTCTGCCATGGATGAGCCTGTCCCCGGAAAAACAAGACATTGATCTTGATTTCACCCTCGATCCCGATCTAATTGATCAATATTTCACAGACAATTTGTCGAACACTGATACTGCATAATCTTCCTGTGATGTTGATCAATTGAAAGTGAATGAAATTGAACATCAGCAATTGAAAATTGAAATAAACGACGATCAAAAGCTTATTGAACCCAATGATGGAAGTTAATTAATTGGAGGTAGCAAAAGTTAGCGGTGAGTCTATGACCATTGAATAAATTTCTTCGACTTGAGTTGATTAGAAGCATGAAATGTATATACATCATCATTATCTTCAAATAAGGTCTTTTCTCCGATAGCTAGCAGCCTACAAAACAAAAATCAATACACCGATAAATTTTGGGTTCTTGAATTTCAATTATGAAACCTTTGGAAAAAATGTAATATAATAGTTAGATCCTTAATCGAAAGTTTTCGTTACATAAAATTGTTTAAGAAGTGTACAAATTTGATTTTTGTGGCTATTAATAATATTACTATAATAATACTCTTAATAATAAAAATTAATTCATTATTCTATGTGACTGTACTTATTTGGTGATGGAGTTTAAATCAGGTGTAAGTTAAATATATGTAAAATCCTAAAACTATCCTTTTAAATAAGTGATGAGGAATATTTTATCTATCTTTTATTTTAAATTTGTGATAGAAAAGGTCTTAATAAAATAATAGTGATAATAAAAAAGAATGGTATCGTATTTGTGTCATTAATGAAATTCCATTGCCAAACAAGCAGACTCCACGATTTAAATTATTCAAGAAAAATGTCCAAATTTATTTCTTTTAACTTTTAATTATAATTAAGATTATCTAAAGATAAAAGTCGTATTGGGATCCAAAGTAAAAATAAGATCGTCTCCGATGACATGGGCAATCTTAGATTAAAAAATAATTAACATCAAGTGAATTGGAAATGTTACTTTAATCTATATCAATTGTGATGAGCAGCTCAAGCTAATTAGTGACCTAAAGTCAAAAATAAATCGGAGGTCTAACTTTTAAATATATTTTTATTTTTATATAGATTCAAAAATATTTCTTTCTTTATAATAAAAACTTCATATTTTTCTATGGTCTTAAACTAGGCATTAATTCTAAACAAAATAGATTCGTGTATAAGAATTATTTTAGAGAAAATGAATTAATATAGTCTTGAATAATAAACCTTACAAAAATCACCCCTACATTATTTCATATTACTTTAATAAAAATATCTCATAAAAAATATAAAAATATATTTGTATTTATTTTAAAAACTACTCTATATTTTTTTTTCTTTCATATTAGATATTGAATACTTATATTAGAATTCGATTAATCTGAATTCATACCATGTAAATCTCATTCATGAAAACACTTTCTATAAAAAAAAATCATATTGAAAATTTAAAACTGAAATTATTGATTAATAAAAGAGCAAATTTATTCGCTCCACCACAATTTCATATATTTTCTATTTTTTATAATAATAAATGAAGAAATGACCAAATGCATCAACAAAGAACCGTGCAATAAATATAATTTTGTGGGGTTAGTGTGATATTGACATCTCATAAACATCCATACGAATCACTAATTTATTTCCTATTAAAAAATATTTATTTTCATTTTTGTTTTCTCAAAGTACTATTTCTTTATTATCCATTTATATATATAAATTTATTTAATTAGATATTTTTTAAAGATAAAAAAAAAAATCGTTTAAAATCATCTATATTTTTGGTTGATGATCTATTTTGAGTATTACATAGATTAAATTACTTGTGTCACATCTTTATAAAAAAAATACTTCTTATATGCTCACTAATAAACTTATTTCAACTAAATGTTTCCGACTTTTCTATCATTAATCTTACCATAATAATTAATAAATTAATTAATTAATTTGTCTTTTTTCACCCAATAATAGTAAGAATTTAAGATTTAAGTATAAAATTTAATATTTAAGATTCTTAGCATTATATTCAATATAATTGAAGTTACGACAATAACAACAATAATGACGTACCTAATGAAATTTCATTAGTGTGATTTGAGGAGGATAGAGGGTACACAAGCTAATTAGTGGCTTAAAGCAAAAAATAATTCGGAGGCCTAATTTTTTATTTATTTATTTTATATAAATATGAGATTCAAAGTAATCTCCTTTTCTTTTTAATTTTTTTTTTCTATGGTCTTAAACTATATATATACAAATATTTTTTTAATCTTGTGGTCTTAAGCATATCATGTGGAAGTTAAATTTAAAAATTGATTAAAAAAAAGAAACATTCTTTAATGTTTCGAAACAAACTAAAAAAGACAAATAAATTTAAAAAATATAGTATATTTTTTTTTATTAAATAAGGCTTATAATAATTTTATTATTCCTAGATAATAGGCCCTTCGAATTTGGGGTCTAAAACGTATGCCTCATTTTTAAAGGCATTGGAGATAGTTGAGATTCCTTCTCTCTTAATTAGAGGTTTCAAATTTGAATTTTAAAAATAAAATAAATGTTGGGAGCACAATCTTTATAATAAGCTTTCTTCGATATGAATATCAAAACACGAATTTTTTTAGCTTAATTTCAAATAGCACACAAGTAAATATGATCATTTTTTTTCTTATTTTATTGTGGATATCTCCTCTTCATTAAGCATCTAGTGTACTTGTCCGCACTTGGCGCTATTCTAAAAAAATATAAGATATGAATTAATACTAATTAATATTACGTATAATTTTATAAAAGAAAACACAATAATTATGATAAAAGCATCTTTTCATGATTTTTTAGATAATAGATAAAGATTTTTTTGACTAAATAAATATGTGTGAGACATGGCCGTATGTAAAATTATTTATTTAAATTAACGTATAATATTAATTTAAAAAAGGAATCAGAGAAGAAAATAAAGAAGAAGAGTAAAAAATTGATGATGCGAATCTATGAAATAGTCTGATTTTATTTAATATAAACAATCTAATATGATTTTAAGATGTAAAGAAAGACAGTAGAATATTGAAAATGTGAATCTATCCTAATTACCAGACACCAGTTAACATGTGGACGGAAAAGTAAGCATATTAATGAAATTATGAAATGATCAATGAATTTAGATATATATATTTTTTTCTTATTTTATTGTGGATGTCCCCAAGAATTTTAAAATATGATTGCAGCATTTTATTGTTGAAGCAAGTTATCCACAAACATGTATACTACACTCTTCACGAGTGACGAATTTAGAATTTTCATTCAGAGAGTTCGAAACATAAAAGTATAAACATGTAAATAAGCCAACAAAACACAACTCCAAAGAAGTAATAGTATATAGTTTGATCCCACCCTCACAAAAAAAAAACTATACATGCATTCAATAATAATATATGAACCACGATGTGAATGTTTGATCATATAAAATAAAATTAAATGAAATTTGGAGTTAAAATTATGTTTGGTTATATTTTGTAAAGAATATTAAAAATTTGAATGTACACACTTCAATATTATCCAATCGAAAATAAAACATATTGTTATAAAATATATGTCATGACCCAATCCACATAAGTCATGACCGGCGCTCAGTAAGCCTAAGCCTACCGAGCAAGCCTAGACCATTTTCTTGCTAAAAATTCAACAGAGTTTCCTCTATATAGGAAGCAATCCATAAATTTTAAACCTGTCAGTATTCAATACACAACAACCCAACCTGCTCCCATAACAACATATAAAGTCTAAAAGACTATCATAATCAAAAGTCAGTGACTTCCACAAAACTTTAGAAGTTAATCAAAAGTCAGTGACTTCCACAAAACTTTAGAAGTTCCAAGTCACCTTTTCACCAACACAAACCAAAACCAAAACCAAAACCAATTTACAAGTCCGACTTAAGGAGCAAGACTCTAGGATTAGAAACACTAATATACTTTATTAGTTGAAACAAAAGGATGGCCCACGCGAAACAACTGCGGGGCTTACTGGATGTGGTGTCAGCGCTATCTATCACTATGCCAGAGCCAAGGGTCACCTTCAGTTGAGTTATCTGAAAAGAGAAAAAGGAAGCGGCGTCAGTCACACAGACTGAGTGAGTAATAACACGCACCATAACGTTTTTGTCACGCTCCGAGCTACCCCCAAGACGCGGACACGGGACCTAGGACCACAAGTGATCCCAAGCTAACCCTGCTGGCATGATCATGAGCATACTAAAGAAAATAAACTGATGCGGAAGCTAATTCATAAATAAGATGAAAAGATGGGGACTATCCATATAACTATAACTGAGATATATGATAACTGATGAGTTTAATACAAAGAAGATATTAACTCAATACTAAGCTGAATCTAACTATGTCTGAAATAAGCCTCTAAACTGACTAGAAATGTTGGGACATGCCCCAACTAGATCTAGCAAAACTGAAACTAAAGACTAAAAATACTGAAAAGAAACTCATGACTATTGTCCTCGGAGAATGAGGACTCACCACTGATTCTGCTGAACTGGAGATCGGGAACTGATCTAAGCGTGATCTGGATGCTGAGACCCTGAACCTATATCACGAGAAGATGTAGCGCACGTATGCGTCAGTACTTGAAAGGTACTGAGCATGCAGGATGGAGTAAAGCTGAAATAACATATAACTGAACAAAGCATACTGAGCAATGATATAATCTGAACATGATATAGATACTGAAGTACTGAATACTGAGCTAACTGAATGCAATGACCAAATTTATAACATGCTGAGACTGAATACTGACTGTACTGAAATATGGTCAATGCAATAGAGTCTGACTGAACTGTGGGAGCTACTAATAACCGACATAAAACCACATGAGCTAAATGTGGAGTCCGATGTATACGCCCCATCGAGAGGACCCAATATACCCTGCCAGAGGTATAGAGGCATGCTGACGTGATCACTAAACTGATGTTGCCCACAGAGGGGACTTACACCTACGTGGCTCGTAGTTCTGGGACTATATGGGTACGCTGAAACCCTAGTCCAACTCGGTATTATGCTACTCCCAATGAATTAAGTGGTTAACTGGTTATGACTGAATTTTTGTAAATACTGGATAGCTCGAAACTGAACATGCAAACTGAGAATGCAACAATTAATCTAATAATGATGCATTCATAAACTGAGGCATGTATAACTGAATATATTATGACTGAGATACTGAATAGCTTAAAATACTGACATGTAAATATTCATACTTGAAAACTCCTTTTTAGAAAACAATACTCTGATCATTGATGACTTGGGAAGTCATACTGCATAAACATTGATGGTATATCTAGATACCATACTATTCATACATTGATGACCTACTCAATTGTCATACTAATCATGTATTAGAAGCTCTTTCTCAAAACTCATCTTAACTTTCTCAAAAACTCAGTTTAAAACTCAAGTGTTGTCTTAAAGAAAAGCTTCTCATGATTTATAACTCAAAATAGGGTTTATGCTGAAATATACTGATAATGTGGCATAAAACTGGAGCATGTATATCTGAATAACTGAAATATCTGACCTAGCATGTGTAATTCAAGAACTAATGAAATACATAGCTAGGGTTCTGAAATTCATGCAATAAACTGAGCAATAACATGATAATCTGATTTGGAACATTTAAATAGCTAATTCATGATGATCTGCTGTAATTCTAGAAACCCTAGGTCCGTTCATAATCATGGAATCAAAAATCTGACTGAATTCTAGGGACCTAATGGGCGAAAGGAACCCACTAGTGAAATCCCACATACCTGGTGACGAATTCCACGGAGAAATCCTTTGATTTCGGGGTTGGAACTGATGGAACCTTGCTGCGTTCTTGAACTAGGGTTTTTGACCTTCTTTTCTCCTCTTAGCGTTCTAATTCTTCTAAGTTTGATTAATGATTTGACTTAGGTAAGTTCTAGTTATGTTTCTAGGTTTAAACTGATTAAAATCTCATGATTTAGGGTCTAAACGACATATCTTAGGGGTTAAACGAAATAGGAAAAGACCAAAAGACCCTTGAATTAGCTGCTGTCGGAGTGACTGACGGACCTGACTGACGGTCCGTCAATCAATCGACGGTCCGTCGATTGGGTCCGTAGGTCGAGTCTGCCCGACAGGGCTTCACTAAAATGGGCATAACTTTTTACTCGGAGGTCGGAATTTAGCAAACTCGGTGGAGTTGAAAAGATAATTCAATTATCTATCTAACCATAGGTCATGGGACACATAATTCATTTTGTGCTAAGAGTTATGACCATCTGAAGTTGACCCATCAGAATTTTCAGCTAACTGGCTGCTAACCTTCGATCTACGGTCAGACCTACGGACCGTGGATCGAACGACGGTCCGTGCTGGTCAACCATAGTTCATGTCAGAGGCTGGGTAAAGGAGGTCTTGATCCACAGACACAGACCATGGACCGTGGCCTGATCTACGGACCGTGGGTCTGTCCGTGAGTCGAGACTTAACCAATTTTTTAAGCTGGCTGGGGAGGGGTTGCAGTGGCGAACCACGGACCACCAGCACGGACCGTGGTCTGACCTACGGTCCGTGGATGGCAACCGTGGGTTGCACCTGCAACTTCTCAAAATCTGCATTTTTGGTCTGTTTCGGATACGGGGTGTTACATTATCTCCCCCTTGGGACCATTTGTCCTCGAATGAAAACTAAATTAGCTGAAATAGAGGGAGAGGGCTGAAATCCCTACCACTGAACACTGAGAACTGAATTTCTAACTGAACTGAGTTCCAAGAACATGCAAATACACTGAAAATGCAAGTACAAACTAAAGGAACATGATTCTAAGATTGAATTTTCGCATGAATGACTGAAAAACTGAAGAGGAACTATTACCTCAAGCTGGAATGGAATCGGAAGGAAAGAGGTGAGGATACTTGGACTTCATGGCTGCTTTTGCTTCCCAAGTAGCTCCCTCTAAGGACTGACTCCTCCACAAAACCTTAACTGAAGCGACTTTTTTTATTCCTCAACCTTCTAACCTGACGATCGAGAATCTCAATTGGTATATCCTCATATGAAAGGCTATATTTCATGGCCACACTCTCTAATGGTACTATGGATGCTGGATCACCCACACACTTCTTCAAAAGAGAAATGTGAAAGACTAGATGTAATGCTGCTAAGTCTGCTGGTAACTCTAACTCATAAGCCACTTTACCAATCCTCTTCAAGATCCGGTAAGGGCCTACATATCTGAGACTGAGCTTCCCTTTCTTGCCAAATCTCATCACCCCTTTCATAGGTGACACTTTCAGGAAAACTCAATCATCAACTTGGAACTCTAGTTCCCTTCTTCTCACATCTGCATAAGACTTCTGGCGACTCTGAGCAGTCTTAAGTCTCTCTCTAATGAGTTGCACTTTCTCCATAATACTTGGCCCGCATCACCTTCTCGTCTTCCCATGCTACCTCCTCGCTGGAGTGATTTTTCCATGCTACTTTCATTGTCGCCATCTCTTTCAAACGTAGCTTCCTTACTTGTTTGTCCATTATAAACACTGGTTCCTCTTCATAGGTTAGGTTCTCGTCCAATTGGATGTTTGATGCTTTTAGCACATGTGAAGGGTCTGGTATGTACTTTCGTAGCATTGATACATGAAAGATTGAATGTACTAAAGATAACTCAAGTGGAAGTGCTAAACGATATGCGACAACACCAACTCTAGCAAGTATCTCATATGGCCTAATATATCTTGGACTCAATTTTCCTTTCTTCCCGAATCTTAAAACACCTTTCATTGGTGATACTCGTAAGAACACATGATCCCCTACTGACAACTACAACTCTCGATGTCTTTTATCTGCATAAGCCTTTTGTCTACTTTGGACCGCTAGCAATCTTTGCCTAATTAATTGAACCTTGTCAATCGTTGACTTCACCAGATCTGGACCCAATACCTTAGCCTTACCAGCCTTAGACCACCCAATGGGAGATCGACATCGCCTTCCATATAACGCCTCGTAAGGTGCCATCTGTATACTCTCTTGGAAGCTATTATTGTAAGCAAACTCTGTCAACAGTAGATATTTGTCCCAAATACCACCAAAATCAAGAATACAAGATCTCAACATATCTTCAAGAGAATGTATGGTTCTCTCTGACTGACCATCAGTTTGTGGGTGGAATGTCGTACTCAATTCCACTTGCGTTCCCAATACTCCTTGGAATACTTTCCAGAAGTGTGAGGTGAACTGGGATCCTCTATCCGATATAATAGAAATTGGAACTTTGTGAAGCCTAACAATTTCATCAATATAAATTTGTGCATAGCGTGCGCCATTATATATAGTTTTGACCGGTAGGAAGTGTGCTGATTTTGTTAATCGATCCACGATCACCCATATAAAATCATACCCTTAAGAGTTCGTGGCAATCCAGTGATAAAATCTATGGTATTTCGCTCCCATTTCCATTCTGGTATCACAAGCTGTTGTATCAACACTGCAGGTCTTTGGTGTTCAGTTTTAACTTGTTGGTAAGTCAAACATCGAGTGACATGATTCACCATATCTTTCTTCATACCCTCCCACCAGTACAACTGATGAAGATCTTGGTACATTTTTGTGGATCTAGGATGAACTGAGTACCTGGAGCTATGCGCTTTTTCAAGCAACGTTTGTCTTAAATCGTTAACATCTGGTACACAAACACGATTGCCAAGTCGCAATACCCCATGACTAACCACGATAAAATCTTTATTCTTGTTAAGAACACCTTCATCTTTAATTTTACACAACCGCATGTCTAGGTATTGTTTTGCCTCTATATCCTCCATTAATGATGACTTCGCTTGAACACATGCTAATAATGAACATGCATGCCCTAAACTGAAGGCTACTCCACTTTCTTTCAATTTGTGAATTTCTCTTGCTAATGGTCTCCTTGTTAAGGTAAGGTGGGCCAAACTCCCCATTGACTTTCGGCTCAGCGCATCAACAACTACATTGGCTTTTCCTGGATGGTACAAAATTGCACATTCATAGTCTTTCAATAATTCCACCCATCTTCGTTGTCGAAGGTTCAGATCTTTTTGTTGAAAGATATATTGAAGGCTCTTGTGATCAATATATATCTCGTATTTCTCTCCATATAGATAATGTCTCCAAATCTTCAAAGCAAAGACAACTGCAGCCATCTCTAGGTCATGTGTTGGATAATTTTGCTCGTGCTTTTTCAATTGCCTTGAAGCATAAGCTATGACCCATCCATTTTGCATAAGCACACACTCAAGTCCCACTCGAGAGGCATCGCAATATACTGTAAATCCTCTGGTTCCCGATGGAAGTACTAATACTGGGTGGTTGTCAAGCTTTCCTTAAGCTTTTGAAAACTTTGCTCGCATGCCTCAGACCATTGGAATTTCACATTTTTTTTGTGTTAGCTTTGTCAAAGGTGCCGCTATTTTGGAGAAATCCTGCACGAAACGCCTATAATATCCCGCGAGGCCCAAGAAGCTTCGTATCTCTGTCACGATGGTTGGTCTTGGCCACTTTTTTACTGCTTCCACTTTCTTGGAGTCAACTAAGATCCCTTCTTCAGATACTACATGACCTAGGAAGACAACTTGGCTCGACCAAAATTCACACTTAGAGAACTTAGCATATAATTTGTGTTCCCTGAGCGCTTGTAATACCATCATCAAGTGTTGTTCATGATCTTCATATGTTCTTGAATACACAAGGATATCATCAATAAACACAATTACGAATCTGTCCAAATATGGCTTGAACACCCTATTCATCATGTCCATAAATGTTGCAGGTCCATTCGTTAACCCAAAAGGCATCACTAGAAATTCGTAGTGCCCATACCTGGTTCGAAAGGCAGTCTTAGAGATATCATCTCCTCTAGTACGTATTTGATGATATCTGGATCTCAAATCAATCTTGGAGAATTTCTTTGCACCATGAAGCTGGTCAAACAGATCATCAATGCGTGGTAACGGGTACTTGTTGCGCACCGTGGCCTTATTTAACTATCGGTAATCTATACATAGTCTCATGGATCCATCTTTCTTCTTCACGAACAAGACTGGTGCACCCCATGGAGAAGTATTTGGTTTAATGAACCCTTTGTTTAACATATCTTGCAATTGTTCTTTCAATTCTTTTAACTCTGTCGATGCCATGCGATATGAAGGTATTGATATTGTCACGACCCGAGAGCACCCCCAAGTCGTAACATGCGTATTCGACCTCTCGGAGGTCTCATACAAGCCCTTAGCATTCATCACATTAGATATGTAAAAAAGTGCGGAATTAAAAACTCTTTAAATAAAATCCCATAAGACTCAAAGGTCACTTTTAAAAACATCATTCAAAAGTACACAAGCGGAATACTAAGTCTCTTAGCCATCTTAGACATAAACGTGAAAACATACTAGGGACGGCCCTTTACAATCAAAAGAAGTCTATTAAGTCTATTACAAGAACCTTATCATAAAACTAGAATAGAAAAGTCCTGTCCTCGACATATGAGGACATACCACAAGATCTTGGAAGAAATTCAAGTTCCAAGCTTACTATAGAACCCGCTCACTTTCCGGAACCTACACTTGTAGAAAATAGAGAAATATGGAATTAGTACAATTAAGTACTAAGTATGATGACCATGCAAAAACATGCCAAAACGAACATTTACAAGGAATAAATGCTTTCATATTATTTTGATAAAACCTTCACTTCCCAAGTATAAGAGACATAATACAAGTCAATGTTCACATATAAAACCATAGCCAACCATATACATACTCAACATATATTCATATACAACCCATGCTTAACTTTAAAAGAACACACGCCATTTCATTACCGTAGGACCTCTACCTAATATAACCTTAAGACACACTTGAGTGAGACAAGAAGTGACCGCACATACAACCTCTTCAAGCACACTTAAGTGTTCCTCAAGATTACTTTAGATAAGGACATTTCCTTTATAACATAACATCAATAGACCAACATTATTTAAGAAACCATTTAGGAGACATTCAAGCACATAAGGGGACTTTCACATAATAGTCGTTAGACTTAGGGAACTCACTTTAATATTTTCAAAGCCTACTCGTGCCATGTGTAGATAGCATCACATACTACTACCTACACGTTGTAGAACCTATCCAATAACTAGAGTGCACACCCCACATGATGGGAATAGGCATAACCGACATAGACCATACTAGCTAGGCATGGAATTCGGAGTCTATCCTACTCCGTGGAGGTTGTTCTACTTGCCAAAGGTAGAACTAGTAAGCAACCCATGTAGGCACATGGTTTAGTGGATGTCCAAGGAAGTTCATTGTGCCTAATCTCATACTCAACTAGGCCACCTTTCTAACCACATCCACTCGGTGCTAGCCTTGTTTCCCATAGAGTATTCAATCACATATGTACTTAGAGAGGGTTCCTTTTCTAGTTCAACCAACTCATAGTACCTCTTCCCAAGAAAGGCCCCATTTCTAAGTCATGGCCGATCAAGGTTCATAAGGATAGCTCATTTGACTTTCTTAGATAAGGATTTTCATGCCGTTCCGGCTCCATCCATCTCTAAGTATATCATCTCACTCAAGAAGGGAACTTCGCCCTAAGGCCCATCCTTCAAGGTTATACATTTACTTAGGAAAGCTAGACTTATGAAAGGGCACCATTTCTTAGTTTTGCCGATTCAAGTCTTGGCCTAGAATTCCTCTTTTAGCATTTATAGAAAGGGCACCATTTCTTAGTTCTAGCCCACTTCACACATTCATGCATTCAAGACTTTAAGTAACAAGGAGAGACACTTTAGTCTACCAACCAAGTCACAACATTATCATCTAAGGATACTTCATAATCCAACATCATTTCATATATACATCATGAGAAAAATCATACTTTAAATCACAATGCTATCCACTTTACATAGGATCATCACAAGATCACATAAACTCATTCACATCATACCTTCACACATAAAGCTTCACATAAAACTTTACATATAGCTTCATATAGGACTTTACATATAGCCTCATTTATATATATAATATACAATACAATAACACTTTATACAAGATCACCTTCACATAGTACAATAACATTTCATAACTTGATAACACTTTAATTCAATAGATAATGCATTCAAGTCCATGTTCATAATACATTCCATAATTAAATACCTCCACCATAAGTGGATCAAACTAAGCAAGAACAATTTTATCCATAATAAGAGATTAAGCCAACTTACCATCCTCCAAAGCCATAATCAACAACACTCATGTCCCAACCATTTTACTTACCACAAGAGAATTCATTCATAACTTGCCCATAAGGCCACAACTTTCAATTCATCCATACATCATCAATTCATCATAGATAGATGTAGAAAATCATAAGAGTTACTAATACAATCCAATCCAAACACAATTTCATAAACTTTGAATCATAAGCAAAAAACCCACTTCATAAGCAAATTTAGGAATTTAGGGAAAACATGGGTTCTTCAAGGAATTCCATACGAAATCATCTTAAAAAAAATATTAATTCATCAATATAATGGCTTAGAAAACGTTTTGCCAATGAACCCATGCTTAGATTAGAATTTGAGATTTTTGTTCTTTGAAACACTTTTGAAACTTTTTTGATTGGACTCCTTGAAAGAAAGATTCATCAAGGATCAAGGGTCACCATACCTCTAAGTTGAAAGCCCATGAAAAATTGAAGAAGAAAGAACTCAAAATCTTCAACCCTAGCTCCAACTTCTTCTT